GCAACAGGAAACCTATGGACCCCTCAAAGAGTTGTTGCAAGGGTTCTTAACGTGCAAAGAGTGTGGAACTCTCTTTACAAGCGGTTTTTGATTTAACGTCCCCATTCTGACCGGACGTGGCGGCGTACTTGTACATCAAGCACAGCCAAACGGACGTCCAACTTTGAAAATGATTTTACTGCCGTTCGGAAGAAGAACTAAGGGACTTATCATGTTTTACCTGGGAGGAGGGGAGGGTTGGTAAAATGTAGGGGCTCAACTTTTTTTCTGTAAGTGGAAAAGTGAGGTTCAAATATTTTTATAAATTCAAAGTGGGGGGATCAATTTTATCTCTAATGAAACATTTGTGAACCTCTGGAATCTTCAAGTATATCCTACATATCATGTGTGTCAAAGATAAGTGTTTTGCATGTTAAAAGTTTGGCATGTTTTTATTCCTCATTTCCATTCTCAATTTTATTAATAGATGGGGGATCACATTTCTTTTTAATGTGTTTAAGGGGGGATAAAATAAAAATAGTGAAATATTATGGGGGATCAAAAAAATTTTATATGTTTGATTTCAAAATGACCAGTCCCCCCATCCCAGGTAAAAAAAAGATAAGTCCCTTAGGGACCATATTTCTTTTCCCCCATCACCTTTGTGGTTTTACAATGCGTAAGAATATAATTATTCCACGGGAAAATGCACGAATGTGAAACTGAAAGTCGTCAAAACATAGAAACATAAACTAACGATGATAAGAATTTGTTGAATTTTTTAGTAATAACAGCAAGATATTATTTAACTTCGTCCAAACTTATTATGTTATTGTAAATCGTTGAGCATGTCATTAATTCTTCACTTTTCTTAGTCTATTACGTCCATATTAATAGCATGTTTAATTACGGGATCATCCAATATTTGCCTTTACCCAGAGCGCATCCATCCAAAAGAATGGCCGTCTTTGTTCTATTAGAAAAGAAATAATTCATGGGGATTTGAATTTTTATTGATTTCACCACGGGTAGCGCTCGGGGTAAAATATCTAGCATAAAGGGCCAACTCGTGGCAAAATCAATTGGAAATACATTTGAACCTGTTACAACATCGCTGAGTTATTCTTCTTTTAGATTTTGTAAATTTTTTCGACAATTTCCGAGACTCTTCCTGAATTGAAAATTTAAAAAAAAGGTCTTAGCAATGCTCTATAGTTTAATTTTTTATCAACGTATCAAAACAAAAGTAAATTAACAAAAATACCGAACTCCAAGGAAAATAAAAAAAACTGAAAGTCCCTTATCAAATCAAAAGCTCAAACACATCAAACAAATGGAAAACAACTGCCATATTTCTGACTTGGTACATGCATTTCCTTATGTAGAAAACGGTGGATTAAACCTGGTTTTATAGCTAGCTACACCTCTCACTTGTATTTTGTATCAAAGTTTCAAAAAAAAAGTAAATCCAAATGCAGTTATATCTGCTGTTCATACAATTTATTGTCTGAAACATCATGCCTTCTTGGTTTTTTTTTTTTTTTTTTTTTACAGTGAACGGAAATTCCTGTTGTTAAACGCGTGAAACTCATTCTTTATTTACATATCATCAAATTATATAGATATAGGAAGATGTGGTATGAGTGCCAATGAGACAACTCTCCATCCAAGTTACAATTTATAAAAGTAAACCATTATAGGTCAAGGTATGGCCTTCAACACGGAGCATTGGTTCACACCGAACAGCAAGCTAAAAAAGGCCCCAAAAAATTACTAGTGTAAAACCATTCAAACGGAAAAACCAACGGTCTAATCTATATAAAAACGAGAAACGAGAAACACGTATGAACTACATAAACAGACGACAATTACTGTAATCAGATTCCTGACTTAGGACAGGTGCAAACATTGCAAAACCTTCTCCCTTTTCTGAAACAATAGTATAACATCACAACATAGAAAAACACACTATAAAATATCAATTGGAAGGCTTAACTCAATCAATAAAGGTAAATTAAAACACAATGAACGAATAAATTTGACCTGTGACACCTGAATGCAAATACACAGTTAATAAAAAATAACAAGGGATAAATAATTAAAGTCAAAAGTAAATAAACAGGTTTAAACAAAGTCATCACTTTTGAAGAAACCTGCGTCATATTATACACAGGTAAATGAAAATAATTTTGTTGTTAAGTATACTTCTTCTTCTGTGTGTATATACATGCATCAAACACTTAATTTTCATATTTCGTCAAATTACGAGACTACCTCGAATTCTGAATAACAAAACGGTATTGATAAAGGCAACAGTAGTATACCGCTGTTCGAAACTCATAAATCGATAGAGATAAAAACAAATCCGGGTTACAAACTAAAACTGAGGGAAACGCATCAAGTATAGGAGGAGAACAACGACACAACAAAAACACAACATTAAAATGTAACACACACAGAAACGAACTATAATATAACAATGGCCATTTTCCTGACTAGGTACAGGACATTTTAAGAAAATAATGGTGGGTTAAACCTGGTTTTGTGGCATGCCAAACCTCCCGCTTTTATGTCAACGCCAAACACAACACAAAAACGACATCACATGACAGGACCACAATACAAATAAATGGGAGAACACATAGGACAAAGAAACACACGAATAATAGCTAACAAAAGGTACTAGGCTTAAAATTCAATACGCCAGACGTGCGTCTAGAATTTATTAATTCTTTAGCTCAATTGCTTTAACAATTTATTGTCTGAAATATTAAAGAGAGACGAAAGATACCAAGGGACATTCAAACTTATACATCGAAAATAAACTGACAACGCCATGGCTACAAAAGATAAAGACAAACAAACAAACAACATACACAAAAACAACATAGAAAACTAAAGACTGAGCAACACGAACCCGATATCGGGTGCTCCGGAAGGGTAAGCAAATCCTTCTCCATATGTGACACCAGTCGTGTTGCTCATGTAAGTACAAAACCGATGATAATTCTAATTCGGTAGGTCACATTCAGGGAAAAGAGGACGGGATTGTAGTAACAACAATTGGAACATATCCGTCGTCATCTGTAAAACAGATATTCCATAACGGTCAACCAACTTATTATGGCGTCCGTAAAATTAATTTTGATATATTGATGATTTCAACTTCAACACTTGGAACTCTTGGTTTAATAGCTTCATTGTGAGCAGTAACCCTCTATCAAGGAAAGCAGGATAGGAAATACAAGCCCTAGAATATCGTATCAACTAGGCGATATATACTCCGAATACAGGCGCTGCTGGAATGTTGCTACATAGAAATGGAAAGTTCACAATTGGGAAGCTGCAATCATCTCTTTGAATGTAAAGTTTTGTTTTTTACCGACCCTCATTGTCAATTTCTAGATGTAAGTCAAGATATGAGGCAGACTTAACTGTATCTGTTGAATCCTTTATATCAAGTTCGATGGGATAGATGCGTTCAACAAAGTAACTAAATTTTGAATTATTTAGTGAGGGAACATCATCTATTTAGTGGAAAGTGAAGTTGAAGGATACTGCTAACTTCTTTTCTTTCATCCTAAGAAGTTCCTGTAAGAAATCAGCCTCATACGAATAAAGGAACAAGTCGGCAAGAAGAGGAGCACAATTGGTTTCCATGAGAATACCGATTGTTTGTTGAAAAACACGTCCTCCAAACGTAACAAAAAGGTTGTCAATCAAGAAATGAAGCATCTTGATAATGTCAATTTTTTGTTTGAATCAGAGTGATTTTTTTAAAATGTATGATTTATCCCGCCCTAAGACAAGATACTTGTATCTACGTTGGCCATTCTTTTTTATGAAACAAAGCAGGACCAACTCTTTCAATTTGTCTTTTAGTGTTGAATAAGGAATACTTGTGTAAAGTGCAGAGAAGTCAAACGTTTCAATGCTATTGCAAGGTGAAAGAGTCTTAAATTGTAAGTACTCTAAAACATCTGAAATTTTTTTAGGATCCATATTTGATTCACGCCACCTCTAGAATTGGTACTTTCACAATAACTTTGAAGCCCGATGTTGATAATTTAGAAGGAGTTTTCGTGCATATATTTTACGGCCAATTGAAATATCTGAAGTTAACTGCACTGAACTGTGTATTGTTCATATTTCGCCTATTTATTTTTAGAATTTCAAATAAAAATCTGATATATCATGTCAACTCGTAAAAGAGTTGTATTTAATTTTCGTTCAGATCTCAAAATTGTAATTCATAACTCACGATGTAGTTATATTCTCTCCTTTTATAAACAATGTATTGTCTTCAACTTTAAATTTCAATACTGTGCTGACGATCAATGCAAAATACCTGTTAGCAACATCGATAAAACATTTCCTCTAATCTTAGATCAAAACCTAGAATTGAATTCAACACTTGATTATTTCTTTACCGTAAAAAACTAAAATGACAACCATTTACTTGACGGTCAAATTAATTCGATGTTTTCTAAATGTAGGTTCTGTACTAAGCCTTTATCGACAATGTCCTTGGTTTTTTGTCTTCTTATGAATTAAAAATAGCTTGTTGCGGCTGTAGCTCTACGACTGTGAACATTCGTTGTCCTAAACGCTGCCAAATACTTCTATCTTGGCATTGCACAGAATCTTGCTTTTCTTAGACTGCTAATGACGTCTTTATCCGAAATATTTTGGACGTGTACTGATTGATACTTTTTTTATGGGAAAACTAGAATTATAATTAATTAGGTTTAAACTATAGTTTCCATTAATTTTAAGTAGTCTTAGCTGTGTACTTTTTTCTTAACCTTTTTTTAATCCAAGCTTATTAGTATTTTAATTTCTGTTTCAATTGCTTTGTCTTGAGCTTTATTGAAAAATCTTTCAAGGCCTTACATCATTTATAAACTCTGGAAAACAGTGTTCAACAATATCTAAAGTAAGTTCGTCACTTGTATCAAATTATCAGTTAAAAATATCAGTGTTCCTGACGTAAACTTCTCATTCTTAATTGTCAAACATACCTCTGCATCACAGTGGTTCTACAACCAATATTCATTCGCAACCAGTTGAAATCCATTTCATAAATCTCTTTTGATTTTTGGTGTACATCATATCCGTAAAAGGTACTGAAGAGAAAGGTAAATGATGATATTCAGGACTCAAGTCATATTTTTGATATTCTCTTCTTTTCAAATTTGTCATCTTGTGATATTGAGCAAGTAAAGGTATAGCTTCCATACAGGACTTCTTTTCACTTCGAACAGTTTTAATATTCCATAACTTATGCAACAGTTTAGTTGCATTACATGCAACCTTAACAACACTTTCAGTGATGCTGCTGAAGTACAGAATCAAAAAATCTAATATGTGGTGAAAGTTAATCCCTCGATCGATAATTGAATTTAATCTTCGTACGCTAGGAACGATTTTCCAGCCTATCAATTGATTTTATCAATTCACTTTATTTCTCCACAGAAATATATTCGTGAAAAAATCCCATTAACTTTTGTATCAACCATTTCATCATAGTCAGTCATTATTATAAACATCACCTTCAATGACAACTTCGTTAATATCAACATGCATATAACTTCCATAATAATAAATATCATTAGCAATATACTAACTTTCAGTAACTTTCAGTAACTTCTAGTACTCTAGGTTGGTACAATGTGTCTTCAGTCTTTTTTTATGTTTTGTGTCTATAAGATGAGTCAAATATTTTGGACTAATTATTACAGTTTGTTTTATGTGGTGGGATACCGACTATCCTAATTTGAGATGAGAGGTGAGCGATCGCAAAGATAATCAACCCCGCCACATTCTGCCAAGTCAGGAGCCCGTGATTCTTTGGTTGTCTTTTGTCGCTTTGTCATAATTGTTTTCTGTTTATTTGTTTCGTATTCAAATCAGGCCGTTTCTCGTTTGAATTATTGTTCGAGGCCTTCAATATGGTATGTAATTTGCTAATTGTTGAAGGCTGTACTGTATCATATAACTGCTTACATGTACGCCTTTGAGTCTCTAGTGAATGGTCTTCTTATTGGCAATCATACCACATCTCCTTTATTTTACAGTTTCTAATGGTTAAAATCGGAATTCGATCGTTCAGAATCTAAAGTGTATAAACCATATATAAGAATATCAACATTACAGTTAGCAAGTAAGATATAACTTTATATGTTATCATATTAATATTAAATGTTTGTTTATATTGTAAATTATCAAACAAAAAATGGGAATTTGAGTTTTGACTGATGTTCAATTAAGTACTTTTAAGATAACACAAGAGTGTTTAGAAAGTGGATTTGTCAATCACCAAACAAGCCGTCATTCATGCTCGGAGGTCTGTAGATGCTACTAATTTAGACCTGAATCGCATATAAACCATAATCTAATCGCAAAGTCAACATTGTCAAAGTGGTGCGAGGTGCTTTGAGTTAACAGATAAAATTAACATTTACTCACCCTTCATGAACCCATGCTATTTCTTGTAATTCACAGTGGTCGAAATGACACCTGCCAATGCGTTCGTTGTCGCTAGTACATATCTTATAAGCGCTATTGATTTTCTCCTTGATTTGTTACCACAGTTAAACTAGGTTGGTCTCAATTTTGCCAAATATAAGAACAAGATTATAAATAAGTCATCGAACAGAACTTAAGTGAGCGTCAATAGTGTGTAAGGTTCGTATATTCTAAAACAATATATATAATAGATACCTGGAAATATCTGGAAACGACCAGAGCTAATTTTAGACAGTGTTTATTTGTAAGATATTGAATATATAGGTTACAACAAAATATATTTTTATGATATTATTAATTTGCACATACAGTTCGTCCAACAAACGGCAATGTAAGTCGTTGGCTCCTGGAATATGTAAGCTAGTAGTTACGATGGTCAGGATTTTTAGTTTTTTAAAATAAAAAATCTTAAATCAAATATCGATTTATTGGACTGGTTGGTAGTAACAAGTTCTAAAACATTTTTTTAGATAAATTTTTTACAACTTGAACACGGAGCTGAGCGATCAATAAAGGACATTAAAAGAAGAGCTAAATCTATGTTAAGTCAATATTTTTTGGGGGAGTTGAAACCTAAGTGTGTTATAAATCATGTCAATACCGAAAAACTGTTTCGTGTGTTATTGTTTTAACTTACCTTCTTTTTTTATTTTCTTTCACCTTTTCATGGTTTATATCAACAACTTACAATTCAATGTCAGTTGCTTCAATATGGAACGCAGCAGTTGTTTCAGTGAGCGCTCTGACATTACGTGATGTAGTTTTATCAGTAATTGATGATATTTTGACTTTTCATGATTTGGTTTTGCATTACTTAATAAGGTTTATATATTATTTAATGTGGTTGTGTCATTAGGTAATGTGGTTTCATCATTACTTGATATGTGTGTGGCTTTGCATGATGTAGTTGTTTCATTAGAAGCTGTGTTTGTATTATTATTACGTAATGACGATTCGTCAATTCGTAATATGGCTAAGTATTACATATATTGATAAGACTTTATCATCTTTTAATGTTGTATAAACGTTACTCGATGTGGTTTTCACATTTTTGATATGGCTTAAATATTATTAAATGTTGATCCAAAATTTGACGATTCTTCAAACCGCGATGTGTTCGTTCCAGTGTTTGATGTGGATTTGTCAGTCTTCTACGTGATTATCCCATTACTTGATGAGATGAAACCACGTGAATTATTTAGAAAAAGTCATAAGATTGAAACCCAATTTCCATGTCGTTTGTTTTAAATGTGCCTCCGCTTAAAATGCATAGACCCCATTATTAAGTGGTAGGTACTTTATTAAACAAAACATACAATTAATAAGATCGAGTTCTATTTAATATTCGAATGTAATGAGACTACTGAAAACAAGCTGTAATCAATAGCATAGGAACATTTTATATAATATCTCGGAACACGCTTTTTCTTTCTAAAAACTACAGGAGGACAGATCTGGATGCAGCGCTCTGTTTTATATAAAAATCAAAGCAACGAAGGGTCAAAGGCGGAAACAACTGTAAAAATAAAATACACAATTGTCTTTTGGAAGTGAACGTTCTCACTTGAAATTAATATTCAGCTGGGCCAAACAAAAGATTTGAAAATTGGTAGATACGTCTTCTCCACTAAGAATCCGGCATTAAGGAGTAACATCGGAGCAAATACTGGTCAGGGCACAGTCAGAATAATGAGTCAAGGAAGGATAACATGTCTTTCAGTGTACTGTAACATACTGAACTGATACGATGACAATAAGAATCAGCCTGTCAGTTTAGTATAAAAAAAAATTCGTACTCACATTACATTATAGAGGGGGATTTTTTTTTCATATAATGAGTTTGGAAATGTATTGTATATCTCATATGCAGGCAACACGGACATTAACAATCACAAGGTTCAACATTAAAGACTAAAGCAAGAGTAGCATGGAATGCAATTTATCAAAATAAAAGATCATTAATATTAGTTTATACACAAATGATCATACATATTTAGAAAATCGGTTGGAAAAAAAATTGGAAAATGTTTATCATATGAAGTCGCTGTTTCTCCCTTTTCCCTCTAAAAAATCAACTTTGATCGCGATTAGATTCAAAATATATCAATGATTTGGACTATGATGTACAACTTGTTTAATTTTTTTTACTTTACTACTGATTCCATTTGAGAGATATGGGACAAATAGTGGACGGACAAATAGGGCAGGAATAATTCCCTAATGTCTTATATATTGTTATTCTTTCTAATTTTTTACCCTCGGCCCCATATTTTCCGCCGGCTTCTACCCCCGCCCCCACCTTTTTTAAAATCCTGGATCTGCTTTAGAATATTTGATTACGAACTCATATTAAATAACTAAATAACTAGAAGTTCTACTCGAACTCTTGACTCGAAATCGAACTTTCACTCGAAACGGAACTCTATTTCAAACTTCAACTATAACTCTGGTTCGAAATCTTACTCGAACTCGGTGCATAATCTTAACTTTAACTTCAACTCTAACTCGATGGATAGATACACTCAGTCGTACATAAACAAACGACATCAAAGAGTAACAACACCACATGAAACACAAGATGGCATGTGACACGTAGTGTTGAATTGTCAAATTTTGGATCAACATTATGTAATGTTAAAAATATATCAAAAACGTGAAATATATACCGATAAATGTTAAAATCACATCGAGTAACGTCTATACAACATTTATTATTATTATACTTCATGTCAAAATGCCAGATTTTGATTGGTTAATACGAGGGAGACAATTTACTCTATCCCATGGCAAATACTCTATTACCTTTCACGGAGACGCTTGATCAAGTGTGCGCTTTATTATACGGATGATTGTTATGTACAAGACGACATAGTTTATTACTTTGAATATGAAATTTAATAGACAGTAATAACAGAACATTCAGTTTAATAAATTAAATAACCTTGGCTTCGCCTCAGTTGACAATGTTTTCTCGGGGTAACAATCTGCTCTTTCACCCTCTCAGCTATGTGTTATTTATATAGTGATAAAGTCTTGTCAATTAATGTAATATCTAGCCATATTACACTATGAAATTACCACATCATGTAAGGAAACAACTACATTACGTAAATTCATACACACATGAAGTAATGTAAAAACCACATAACCTAATGACATATTAACTAATGATGCAATCATATTAAGTAATAACAAAACGATATCAAGTCATTACACAACAATAACATGTAATATATCAAGTAATAACAATACATTAGTGAGTAATATCAAAACATCATTAAGGAATGTCAAAGCCATATCATGTGTTGACAAAAAAGGATCAAGTAATGATAAGTTGTTTAAGGGTCATCAAGCTTGTTTTTATCTACAGATTGTGAAAAAAATGATACATTCTGTATAGATTATACAGAGAGAAGGCAGAATACTGTGAATAGAAGGTAAACTAAAGGATACATTTTTAAAATAAAATATGAGAAGATAGCTTATATAAAATGCTATCAGAATATCAAAAGAAAAAATTGGGTCACTGTACGATATTTCTACTAAAACATAAAATAAATAAATTTTCTGAAGATTCCCTCATAAATTATACTTTATCTGAGTAACCTCCCATTAATACGCAGAATTTAAAAAAATTTAAAAATCAAGCAAACTATTCTATTTTTATGAAAATATGAATGATGACAACCTATGATCACATCAACTTGTTTATTTAAATGAAAATTTTTATTAGTAAATTGTATTCTTCCATCGAAATTTGCCGACCTTATTAAAATTCTAGATCTATAGTTTTCTGCTTTTGCTAAACACGGCAATCATATACATGTCATTGAAATTAAAACACGTTGTTTTTAAATCTATTTTTTTCTTAATCCATACATTTATCTGCATTTGCTATCTTTAAAAACACCAAGTACATTTGGAAAAAGTCTCCATTACTGTTTTTTTTTCTATTCAATATAAACTTATGAAAACGGTTAAGAAATTCTTATCTGAAACAAATTTTACAAATCTCAGAAATTTTTCACGCTATTTTCATTTATGTTTTAAAATGTATTGTGTAATGGAATTCTAAACGACTGTCATACAAGTGAGAAGTTTAGCTAGCTATAAAACCAGGTTTAATCCACCATTTTTTACATAAGGAAATGCCTGTAACAAGTCAGGAATATGACAATTGTTTTCCATTCGTTTGATGTGTTTCAGCTTTTGATTTTGCCATTTTATAAAGGACTTTCCGTTTTGAATTTCCCTTGGAGTTCGGTATTTTTGTTTTTTTACGTTTTGTTCAAAGTGAATCAATTTTTCCATCAGACTTGGTCCATATATTTTAGCCAATTTCTGAGACTTTTCTCGAATTTAAAAACAAAAGCAGGAGAAGAACTTAAAATTTCTTTTGAGTTTTTTATTAGATTATGACGAAGCCTACCTTCCCTCCATTTAAGTGTTGACCCGTTTTTTTCTTCTTCTTTTTTGTTCTTATTTGGTCAATATTGTCGACCATTTTCAAGCTTTCCTTATATATTGTGACGTGTATAATATATATCAAAAGATGTTTTCCTTATACGCTTGTAATTGATCAATTGTTTTTTAAATCTATTTTCAAAAATTTCCAGTTAACATATTTCCTAACAATCGCATAACATTTAGTAAAATCACTTACAAATTTGGATAATGCAATTGACGACTTCTGAGACTGCTGAGACTTTCTGTGGGCTGTAATTGAAAAACAGCAAGCTTTAGACAATAAGGGTCGGTTAAGAACAAAAAGACAAAAGAGATAATTTCAGCTTAATGAATTTTCTATGTAGCAATATTACAACAGCGCCTGCACATGGATCATAAATCTCTCTGTTGAAACGATATTCTAGGGCTTGCATTTCCCATCATGATTTCCTTGATAGAGGATTGCTGCTTAAAAGGAAGCTATTAAACCAAGAGTTCCAAGTGGTGAAGTTGAAATCATCTCTTCGAAAATTTTACAGACGCCATCACGAGTTGGTTGACCGTTATGGAATATCTGTTTCACAGACGACGACGGATATTTTCTAATAGAGGTTTCCCGATTTGCTACCGTACCAATCGTAGTACGAAGTGGGAGCCGTCATTGAACTTTTGAAAATAATTGATGTATACACTTAATGTCAACGTATGTTTCATGAATCATTATAAAAAGTATTTTGTAGATTTTTAGCTGCAACCTGGTAAAAATTTCACTAGGATAGTTTTTGTATTTATAGCAAACAATATTGTGTGTACTCGATTATGCTTTTAAGCAACCGTTGCAAGCAACCTTTGCACGAACGGTTGTGATTTAGATTTATTTCCCCTGAAATTGCAAAGGTGAAAAGAAGCTAAAAAAATTAAGAAGATTTATAATCCATCTGATTTTCGAATGTTATATTATTAACACAATATAGTAATAATTGGTTTGAATTTTTTGGGTCGGCTTTTAGAAAACATGAAAAATAAGTGCCATTTTAACATACAAAATTAACCTATAATTGTTGTGTATTAATGGTGAAATAAATAAAACAAAAACCACTATCATTGTTCTGAAAGGTAAAATGTAAATTATAAGCATATCACTCAAGGTTGTTTAAAGCATCACTGTAAAGATAAACTACGAAACTTAATTGTTTAAAAGATTGTGAAGACGTTGTGTTTTAATAGAAAAGCAAAGGATATTTTCGTATTTATAGCAAACAATAGTGTGTGTACTCGATATGATATGATATAAGGCTTTTAGAAAACATGAAAAAATAAGTGCCATTTTAGGCATTTTTAAGCTTGTTTTTTTTTATCAACAACTGAAGATTTTTTTTTTCTACAAATGAATTCTAAAAAGAACTGAAGAATAAATATTTATGACTTTATTGCCGATGAAAAAAACCACCAATGTCTAGATTTGTTGGAAAAAACAACATTTGTTATACAATTATAGTAAATTGCACAGATACTCTTCCTGAAAATAAGACAAACCATATCCTGTTTTCTAATATGTCGCGACATATAAATAAACGATAGCAATATCCTTTGCTTTTCTATTCAAACACAATGTCTTCACAATCTTTTAAACCATTAAATTTTGTATTGTTTTTTCATCGGCAATGAAGTCGTAAACATGAAATCCGAGCTCTCTTTCAAGAAATAAATCTTCTGAAATTATCGAAATATATTACGTAAATATTGTCACTAGAATCATTCAAGAACTGTAGTGAAAAATCAACCCAATTTTGACATGTTAAAGTATATAATCAACATCAGTTGCTTAAGAAAGTTGTTCACAGATAGTATTTTAATTTTTCCAAATTATGTGCATACATAAGAATTGTTTTTATATATAAACAAAACAAAAACACTTCATTAAACAAACAGAAACTCAAATCTTTATTTAGAATGTAAAGGCCATCTCAACTCAATTCGTGTAAAGTCTGTTTGATCCATGCACTTGTGCACTTACTAAATAATCTTAAATAGAATCATAAAAAAAGTGTTCTAGAAACGGTGAAATCGCAGTCAAATAAAAAGTTTAAGTTAGATTTTGCTGATATGCAATTCGATTTCTTTAATTTTATTATGATGAATAAAATAATTTCATGCATTAAATGATACCTCCAAAACAACTCTAACGGTTGAGTTACATACCAACCGTACCTGATACGTAGCAAATCGGGAAACTCTATTTTCCATGACCACAGTGATCACAATGCCGTCCTCTTTTCCACATATATGACCTACCGAATTACACGTATTACTGGATTTGTTCCTACAGGAGCAACACCACGGATACCAAATGTGGAGCAGGATCTGCTTACCTTCCCGGAGTACATGAGATCTATCCCGCTATTTGTTGAGGTTCGTGTTGCTCATTTTAGTTTTCTTTGTTGTGTTTTGTACACTGTTATTTGTCTTTTTTTACCATGGCGGTTGTCAGTTTATTTTCAACTCATGAGTTTGAATTTCTCTTTGGGATCTTTCGCCTCTCTTTAGTGTTTGATTTTGGTTTTTGCGTAAATATTTTGTTTCATTACGTGTTTAATTAATTTAATCAACAACTTACCATGCAATTATATTTGCTCGATTGTATTTACAAAATAGTGTCTCAAACTACATATTTACAATTTCCTGTCACATATATAATTTAAAACACTTTTAACGCTTTATTCTGAACTGCTATTTAATTATCAATAGATTTCATTGCGCTTTTAAAAAATATAAACAGTTTCAAACAATATTTGCTTGAATGATTTTACAATTCATTGCCGGAAATATTTGTCAAACGGTCAATTTAGAATACCTGTTGGTAAAATCGCAGAACCTTGTATGGTAAGGTAATGTAAACATGTTATACTATTTCCAAGCCTTAATTCATATCATTGATAGAAAATTGATTCAGAAAATATATGGTATGTGTTGTGTTTTTTCAAATATGTGTATCCATAAAGTGCAGTAATATATTCTCAATCTATTGAACAATTAATTGTCTACGACATCATGTTTACATACTTTCTCAATGGTTACAGTGCTGGTTTTCTCTTTTTTTTCAAGTATTAAAGCCCAATATTTTACGACGATTTTTAAGCCTTTCCTCTTATATCAAATCAAAACCCGTTTAGGATTTAGCATTGCCTTGATGTTTTATTGGTTTTTTTTTTCAGAAGCCAACTTGTTTCATAATTTTTTTCAATTTTTTTTAAACCAATCCATAATTTACAATCCAGTTACATTTGCTTAAAAGTTGTTTTAAATTTTATTGTCCGAAACAGGGTTTTCCTGTTTTCGTATTTTATAACCATCAATTTTAAATACATGTTGTTAAAACTGCTGAATAATTCTTGTTCCAAATTTTGTCAATGATATCGACAATTTCCGTTACTTTACCAAAACTTAGAATCAAAAACTGATATAGAATTTAACAGGGCTTTTACAAATTTATATTTTTCTACGGAACGAATTTTGTACTCAGGTTCAAATAAATTACTCTGTTCTATTGGCTTCACAATTGGTTGTCTGATAT